CCCTAGCCACTGAGCTACAGGCACCCAGCCAATATACCTGCCACTTTTCATAAGTTTTATTCTTCTCAGAGTTGGCTTCATGGCTGTACTTGGCATGTTTCTTACATCATGAAGTGGATGGGCCAATAGAAGTGTCCCCATACCTCAGATGAGGAGGTGGAGTCCATGAGAGGTACAGGGTCCAGAGTCCCTTGGATGTAAGGGGTAAACAGACTGAGCATCTGGGCCTCCTGGCCCCTCATTCAGGACATTTTTGTGTTGTACTCGTCATCCTCCCCTTCCCCAGCACAGCCTATAGGTGGCATCAGAGCTGCTTTTACACCTCGTCCTAGCGCACACTCCTAGGTGGAGGAAAGGACTCAGATCTGAGTTCTTTTTCTCTGTGCTTGGGTGCTCTGCCACTCTTCCAGATTTTTGAGGCTGAATCCCCAGCCTTAGTCTGAGTGTCTCTAGGTTTGAGAGAGCCTTCCTTTAGTGCAGTGGTTCTCAACCTTCCTAATGCTGTGACCCTTTAATATAGTTCCTCATGTTGTGGTTACCCCCAACCATAAAATTATTTTCATTGCTACTTCATAACTATAATTTTGCTACTGTTATGAATCGTAATGCAAATATCTGATATGCAAGATGTATTTAGGCGACCCCTGTGAAAGGGTCGTGGTTGAGAACCGCTGCTTTAGTGGAATTCAGGGCCTTGGGCTAAGCCATTTTGCTTCCTTCTTCTTAATGGTCTAACTCCAAATCCTCTTTGAAGTAAGCATAAACTTGTAAGTGGTCCTCAGGGCAAGTTAGTTGATTGGGGGTCTGATGCTGTTTCTGTTATAGTTTATGTAACTGTCATAGGTATAGGGGTTGTGGGGGATCCCAGGAGGGGGTCATCTTAGTCTGGGGAAATCAGGAAGGCTTCCTGGAGAAGGTGGCCTTGTAGTTGTGAAACATGAGTAGGAATTAGCCAATGGGAGCAGTATTCCAGACAGAAGAATGGCTTTTGTAAGAGCCTGAAGATATGAGAGAGAAGTGGCTGGGAGAATTGTGGGCCATGAGAAAAGGGCCAGATTATGTTGGAGATGGTGTTTTCTTACCTTGATAGGAGCAATTAAAAGGTTTTCAAGTATTGGAAAGGCCAATGCCATTATCCCATAGCAGAAGGGGAGAATGGTTACAGGTAGGCAAGACTAGGATGGGGTTGCAGATTTATTGGCTGTGGCTGGAAGGTAGCCAGCGCTGGCTTGTAGAGGAGGGTATGGTTTGAGAGAAGGTAGGAAGTGGGCAGGGCTTGACTGAGGCTGAAAGGGATGAGTCAGAGAGCCTCTTTGGTTCCTGCGTTTCTGACCTGAGTCATGGGAACAGTGAGGCTCACTGCTTGGGCAGCACAGAGGAAAGGGCAGATGTGGAGGAGAGAGAGACATATCCACAGGGGACCCTGTGGGCAGCAAGCCAGCCTGCAGCTGTCTCTGTGGGTCTAGAGCCCAGGAGAGGGAATCTGGGCTGGAGATACACAGTAGCGGTGGTGGGAGCCAAGGAAGAGAAGAGGTGGAACCCCAAGGGCAGATTAGCAATTAAAGTTGAGAAGGGGCTGTCAGAGGTCAGAAAACTAGATGGATGTCTTGAGGGAAAAACAGAAAAAGAGCTGCCTAAAGGAAGGAGCAATCCAAGTGTCAACTGCACAGAGAGATTCATGAGGTGAGAACCAGCAGGGCTTGGCGACCTTAGCAGTTACACTTGTGGTGGGTAATGGATGTTCTGATGGATTGAGGAGTCGATGAAAGGTTAAGAACTTAGGGACAAATGTAGTCTACATGCCTTGGAGAGGTTTGGGGTGACAAAGGGTGATAGCTAGAGCAAATACAAAGGTCAAGAGAGAGTTTTGCAGGCCTATCTAAATACAGATGGGAAGCCACTCAGAGAGAGGTATGTGGCAAAGCATCCCAGTTTTCCCAGGTCTTCCTTGGTTTTAGCACTGAGTCTCACATCCTGGGAATTCTCACAGTCCTGGGAAAATGCTATAGCATAGAAGAGGAAGGGAGGAAGAAGGCTGGAGGGAGAATCCCTGGCAAAGACTGGGTGCGTGTGCAGAGACATCTGTCATCTCTGTAAAGGGGCTGGGTCATCAGTCAATGAGGGAGGGAAATGGGAAGGAAGCAGGTGGTAGAGTGAGGATTGAGGAGATCTGGGAGGATTGCTTAAGGGTGCTGGGTGTAGCTGCTCTGGAGACCTTGGGTGTGCAGGGGCAGCCACCATCAAGTGGTGGAATTTTTGTCCAGCAGACCTGGAGACTGCACAGAGAAGGCAGCCCCACCTTTGACCTGTACCACCCTTATCTTCCCATAACCCACCTTATGTCTGTCTTCACAGCCCCCACCCCGTGAAACCACTCAGTGCTGCCCCTGTGGAGGGCAGCCCCGACAGGAAGCAGTCCCGCTCCAGTCTGAGCACAGCCCTGAGCAGTGGGCTGGAGAAGCTCAAAACTGTCACATCTGGCAGCATTCAGCCTGTGGCCCTGGCCCCCCAGGTTGGCCAGACGGACACCAAGAGGCTAAAGGTGAGGCCCAGCAGGGTGCAGGGGCCATCTGGCAGAACACGTGGTGCTGTCTCCTGGAGAGAGGCCAGGAGTCTTGGGGCAGGGTGCTGGAGAGGACAGAGCAGGGAGCAGACAGGGTCCCCCACACTGGAGTCCTGAAGCCAGTTGGGCCATCTCTGGCACTAGAGAGACAACCCCAGACCCACTGGTGTCAAAACTAGGGTGTTGGTGGTAGAGAGGCCTGGGGTTGCCCTGCTCACTTGAATTCTGTCTGGCCTCAGGATGCAGCTGTGCTGGACCAGTCGGCTAAGTACTACCACCTGACACATGACGAGCTCATTAACCTGCTCCTGCAGCGGGAGCGGGAGCTGAGCCAGCGGGATGAGCACGTGCAGGAGCTGGAGAGCTACATCGACCGGCTGCTGGTGCGGATCATGGAGACCTCACCCACACTGCTGCAGATCATCCCCGGCTCCCCCAAATAGCCCTCCTCACCCCCATCCCTGGGAGGGTTGGCATGAACCTGCTGCCCGCCCACCCTCCCCACCACTGAACTCATTCTCACCTGGGCAGGGTGTAATCTGCCCTCCTTGTCACCCCTTGCTCCTCTCCCTCTTGCCTCTACTGGGGCTGTCAGAAGGGGGCCCTTTGGAGGTATCAGGTTCCATGTCAACTTATATCTTTTGGAGACCTGGGTCTTTCCCATTTGCCTGTTTTCATACCCCTTAGCTTGGGGAGATCCAGGGAAATGGAACAAGGAACTTAGCTTTAACCTCAAGATGGAGCAGGGACAAGCTACAGTTTGATGTGGCATCTGGGACAAGACTGGTTGCTAGCACATACTTTATAATCCCCCAAGGATAGTCAGCCATTTCTTCCCACAGTCCCACCCTCATCCTTTTCATTTCCCTCTAGCCCCTATAGGGGCGTCTAGTATTACTGGACAGGGACCAAGCTGCCTGTACATATGTATGAGTTATGGGCAGCCCTGGCTCTTCAGCCTCATGCTCATTCCCCTGAGGGCCAGGAGCCTATGTGATCTGGTCTCAGCCATGTCCTGAATCTGTTTCTGCCTCAAGTTGTTTGTGGGGCGGGTGTTGTGTGGACAGGAGTTGATGATGTGTGTCTCCAGGCTATTTCCTGCCCCTCAGACCCTGGAGTGCTGTGTGGGAATGTGTGGAAGGGGGCGGCACTCATGGGGGGAGAGCTCCTCTGTGCTTCTCACCTCTGATGCATAGGTCCCTCCAGGTCAGGGTTTTCAGCTGTTTATGTGTTTGGGATCAAGCCTCCTTGTCTGTTCTTATTGCCTGTCCAGATGCCAAAACTCTGTAGTGCCACAGGGTTTGAACTTTCGGAAACCAATTAAAATGTGCCTTTTGTGGGTGGGGTCAAAAGCCTCTGGTTGTTGACCTCTCTCCTGTGTGGCGTACCCCTCCCAGCTGTTGAGCACGTAGGGGTGACTCTGTCAGGGCCTTGGGAATGGGGGCGGAGGGTAGGGGCAGCCCTGCTGCATGCTCTTCCCCTCCACTAGAGTTGATCTCAGCTAAGGGTCTGGCCAAACTGCTACTGCTCCTTCAGCCTTCCTGCCATCTTTCCTTCTCCCTTGACCCCAGTAGGAGAATCCTAGAATAAAACCTATGGGAGGGCAGGTGGGCAGGGAGGCCTGGGGCTGCCCTGCTCATGCTCATTATGTCTAGCCTCAGGCTCAGCTGTGCTAGACCATTCAGCTGGTCTGGAAGTGAAAGGTCCTATTATGCCTTTAGAAGACACCTGTACTTAGGAAAAAGCCTTTGATGCTCCCCTTTCCATTCACTAAGCTGCTGTCCCTTCTGCCCCATGGCCTTGCCTGGCTTGGCTGCAGTGCACTTTGAAGTGAAGTCTCTGTCTTTTGGCACAGCTCCTGGTTTGCTTTAGAAAACACAGCGGGCTTCCCCAAGGCATCTGCAGGGAACCTTTTGCAGTGTAGCTTAGCAAAAGTTGGGTGAGGAGGTGCTGAAGGAGAATACTTTTGGCCCAGTGAAGAGGCAAGAGCTCCTCTGGGACCAACTCTTCCTCATGGAAGTGGGCCTGAGGGCTCAGTTGGAAGGCCTCAGGAGGAAATGTGCTCTGTGGGGGACATGTGTCTGCTGCCAAGATGGAACAGTGGAGTCCCACACATGGAGTAAAGCCCCTATCAAGTTACCTACCTTAAGGTACACTCACCAAAGTGGAGAAAAATATCCACGGAGGCCCAGGACTTCAGTCACATTTGTTAGGGGGTCATTGGGTGTTTCTCTTCTGTAATATCTCTGCTGAGAGCGAGTCACTTCCCTACTAGGTATTCCTCTAGGCTTTAATCAGTCCTAGCCCTGTCCCTGATCTTCTGTTCATCTTTTATTATGGGCCTCCCAAATGCCTAGCATAGGGATGTCTTCAGAAGAGCTTTTGAATTGAAGCCCAGCATTCTTGTTTGATGTTTCTGTTCCTGGCCACAACTCAGAAGAAAGCTGCCGGTGGGGTGGGGCAGGGAGCAGGGACAGTTCTGGCTTTTGCTGTTTGTCTTCCTAGTTGTAACTCCTGTTTATAAAGAGCTTATTCTTCATGTTTTGAGCACTTTATGAAGAATAAAAAGTCCATGTGCTGCAAGTGGCTCAGTTGTGTCCCTGTCTTGGAATGAATGGTTGAAGCAGGGTGGATGTGGGAGAAAGTAGCCTCAAATCAAGGTGATGAGGTTTTTGGATGACACCACACATGCCCTGACATAGAGGGGAGTAGTACAGTGTTACCCCGTAGTCTGGACTGTCTTCTCTCACTCCCAGGATACTCAAATTTATTGGGTACCGTAAGGGAATATGTAGTGTAAAAAATTGATTTCTATTCTCAACCTGCTTTAGTCTACTAGGGGAAGAAAAGATACAAATCCAGGACACAAACTGTACTTCATAGTGAGGCTAGAATCTCCAGTTCAAGAAAAGTTTGTTTCTTGTGGTTCAGCTTAAGTATTAGTGGATGGGGGAACTCTGACTGCTACAGCTCATGTAGTGTCCAGAAAGACACAGAAGCCAACAACGTACCTCCCCAAGACATGAATGAGATCCAAAGTGGGTGTCCCTAGAGTCAAGACCAAATATTTCTACTGTTCTCTTGGGTAAAATGGGGAACTTTCTGCCACACTCCCTCACCCCTTGTCTGGCTCATTGACCAAATACTTTAGCTGGGAATCTGCAGTGTGTATTATTCATGCTGGTGCTCACTCTACACTCCGCAGTACTTCACCTTACCAAAAGTCCTTGTGGCTGGTGCTTGATAAACATTACTAAACCCCATTCCCCACCTCACTACCCAGTTCTCCTGCTCAGCAATTAGACCTTGGGAGAGGTCTTCCTTGGTTAGTTAAAAGAGGGAGAGGTTACAAGGGTCCTTAACTCCTACTGGATGACTCATAGCTAACTTGAGTCTGCACTGTGAACCTTCCTATACCTGGCACTGACGACTTAGCAGTGAATCAAAAAGTCATGGCTTCTATCAGAATCCGTTGGTGGGAGGCGGGTGGTGGTGGTAATAGCCCCTGTCCTGTAGACCTTACAGTAGGAAAGACAAATGATCCCATGCCATAAATAATTATAAATGCAAGGACTACAAAAGAGAAGCTCGGGTGCCTTAAGAGCATGTCGGGGATTTTGTGGAAGTTGGGTGATAGAACGGGAAATGCAATGTTTAGGCTGAGGCCGGAAAAAGAGCCCCCATTGGGTGAAGTTAGTTAGTCTTCTGGGCACAGAATGTCCGAGGGTGCCCATCCAACATGGTCCAGTATCTGAGTGTCGGGCCGCTGGAGAGCACAGGGTAGAGAGGCGACAGAAGAAACTGCATGAAGGTTCCGCAGTGCAACTCCGTGTAGAAAGCTGTCTGAGATTAACCCTAGTCGGCCTGTATTCTTTTCCATTGTGGTCCTAGGTCCGGCCGGCTTGAGTGAGTGGGGCCCTTCTGGACTTCCGGGAGCGACTCCTACCGCGCTATTTAGATTCTAGGCAGCAGACAAACAACGAGGGCTCGCCCTGTGGTCCCCGTCGGGACCTCAGAATCGTGCGCACCCACCATTCACGGACTGCAGGCCCTGCAAGGCTGGCTGCAGGACCGAGATCCAGTCTGTGTCAGTGCAACTCTCCGCAGTCTCTGTCCTCCAGCGCCCAGACAAAAAAAAACTACACTCCCCACAACCCTTTGCACCTCCCGCTCGCTGCGGTTGCTTAGGGCCAATCGGGAGAGGCAGCTGCGGCGGGGGCCGAGGAGGGACATTTTAAAAGGGCCGGAGATTGCGGGCGTCAGTGGCCATGGCGGATACAGCGACTACAGCATCGGCCGCGGCTGCGGCTAGTGCCGCTAGTACCTCGACCGATGCACCTCCTTTCCAGCTGGGCAAACCCCGCTTCCAGCAGGTGAGGACCGGGCTGTGGCCTGTGGGTCGGCCTGTAGCACAGGGAGGGCCAGCAAACTCCCCTCCAAAGTCTCCTTCAGCCTGGGGGGTCTCCGACCCGCGGCCACCAGAGCCTGCAGCTTGTGCCTGGGGTACCTCGGCCACAGCCGCCCCTTTCTCATTGGTCTGTGGGGTGGGCGAGAACTTCCACCTTGGCTCCCTATTGGCCTTTGGCGCCGTCACTTCCCGGCTGCCCGCGCCCTCCAGCCTTACCCGCCCGAAGCGCTCTGTGATTGGCCGCCGCGGGCCGCGGCCGGGGATCCCGGCTGCTCGGGTCCGAGCGGCTAGCGAAGGGTAGCTACCGGTTATGCAGCAGCCCGCTCCTGGCACAAAGTTCAAGTCCAGCCCCGGATGAGAAGTTGACTAGGCTGGGATGCCTTCTAACTTTTTTCTCGGGTGGGGGCTGACGTTCCTTTCGAGCTGCTGGCGTAGCTGCCGGGCAGCGTCCGTGCCGCGCGGTCACGCTCGCATCACTCGACCCCAAACCAAGTCCATGATGCGCGCCAGGGTAGGACCACGTGCTGAGGAGTGCGGCGGCCCGGCGACCTCCATGACCCCCCCACTCCTCGCTCCGCTGAAGATTCGCCTACGCCGCGAGACGGCGGCTGTGCTCTGCGGAGATGGAGCTAGGATGTGCGGGTACAGCCGGTGGTGTGGGGGAAACGCAGTGTCATTCTCTGGGGCCGTCACCCCTCGGAGGGGCTGCCTCCCCAGAAGCCCGACCCAGCCCCTCCCTCGCTGCGTCTTCCGCAGAGGGTCTTCTGCCCCTGGGGTCCCGGCTCCACCGAACGCTCGCCTCTGTCCAGACCTGCTCGGATTCTTAGGGGCACGGTGACAGTTGTCCTTTTCCTCCAGGACCCCCGCCAGGGCATCACTAACTTGGTCCTCGGCCACGGAGACGGGGACAGAACGAGCAGCCCAGACGTGCTGGCTGGGCCCCGAGCCAGGAGGCTGGGAGCGCTGTTCCCACACTGCAGACCCCTGCCCCGACCCCCGTTGCCTCCCGCACTGAGGAAATGGGGTTTATTTATTAGGAAGAGAGCAAAGAGACTCGGGTGAAGTGAACCCGGGCTCTCTGGGCGGTGGGTAGCTGCGGAGGCGGCCGGAAAGAAGTTTGCAGTAGGAAAGGAAACAGTGCGAAGGTCGGTGCGGTAGCTATTTTTTTTTTTTTTAATAGTGGTACAGGGAGGGGGACCGGTTCCAGCAAAGAAGTGCCTCCAGCTTCAATGATAATTACGGAGCTGTACTCCAGAACCTTCTGGAAAAAAAAAAAGTACCCATTGTTTTTAAACAGGACCTAAATTCCTTTTTAAAAATAGACCGTGTCAGCATGTAGGTATCTGAGATGAGATTGGTGTCTTCCTGCTAAAGTAGGATGATACCCAGAGTGAGATTGTCAGGGGTGCCCCTGCCTGGACTTGAGTGGCCTTTCTTTGCCAGTCCTCCCCTCACCGCCTACATACACTCTGCTCATCCTTCAAGGCTCAGTCAGGCCCACCTCTGGGAAGCACTTATTGTCTTTCTCTGGTGCCATTATCCCTCTGGTCCCACCAGATTGCTGACTTCCTCCCACAGGCCTCTTTGGCTACCCCAAGTGGGATCTTCACAGATCGGCCCTTCCTTGTAGTCTTCCCTGTGGTCTGCTCATTGTTTGCTGTGTAGTTACTTGGTTTCCTCAAACCTTCCTGGGCTTTTTGGGAGTAAGTGTTCAGCTTGTCCTTCCCTGTCTCTGAGGGGGATTGGGTGTATAGTAGCATGCTGAGTAAAGATGTAAAGGAGTGTCTCTGTGTGTGTTTCCCTCTGGTGCGTGTTATCTGTGTGTGGCGCTCAGGACATTCAGTTATGCAATAGACATTTATTGAGTACCTCTTAGAGGCTTAAATGACTGAGCTCTTTGCTGTGATCACTGCTGACACCGTAGATACACATTTGAGGCTACGCCATTCTTGCAGCCATTGCTGGTACCTCTTTTTGGCACTGCTCTCGAAGGCAGTAAAAGTGTTTGTTGTATTTGCTGTTGAAGCTTCCCTCTGCCAGCATAGTGACCTGCATAAAGCACACTGCATGTGATTCATCAGTGTTAAGGAACTTTTATTTATTCCAGACCTGCTCCTCCTCCAAGGCTCACTGGTTCTTCAAGTAGCCCAATTTGCCATTCTATCTCTGGAGTCAGAAACCTGGGAGTCACCTGTATACCTCCTTTCCTCTCCCTCAACCTCTAAATACAACCAGAGGCCTAGTGATCTCACCTCAGTGCTCAAGTCTGCCTATCTCCACTTCTAGAATCCTAGATCAAGTCCTTGTCATCTATTTCCTAGGTCACTGCAGAAGCTTCCCAATAGGTCTCCCTGCTTCTACTCTGGCCAATTCTTCCTTACTGCAGAGTTCTAACAATGTAGGTCTGATCAGGTGACTTCCCACCTCCTGCATATCTTAATACCTCCAGTGGCTTCCCTTGCTTCTGAGACTAAGACCACTTCTGAAAGGGCCCCAAACATCTTCATGGCCCACCCCTGCTGACTTCTTCCTTGAATCCCACCATCCACCCACCCTTTTACTCTCTTTCCTACCATACTGGCTGCTTTTCAGCCTTTGAACCCACTGTGTTCTCTCCTACCTCTTAAATTGGTAATTACTGAAGCTGGGTGATGGGTGAATAGACATTACTATGTAGGGCATTGGTCTGTGACGTTCTTCTCCTCAAAAGATGATGACAGTAGTTAAGCATTGTTCCACCCTTCTTGTGTATTGACACTGAATTTTCACAACAACCCCGTGAAGCAAGTATAATGATCTCCAGGCTGTGGGTGAGGAAACTGAAGCACACAAACAGATTAAGTATCTTCCTAGAAGGTCTGGCTCCATAGCCCATGTTTGTTTGTTTATTTGTTCATTGTTAACTTTTTTATAATGGAGGTTTGCAAACATACAAAGTGGAGACAACTATCAGAGAATCCCTATTCACCCGTCACCCAGCTTTAGTAATGACTAATTTAAGGCCAACTTTGTTTGCCTCTATACACCCCCAGCTGCAACCAATGAATTATTTTGAAGTAAAGCCTGAATAGCTTGTCCTTTCATTAAATCTACTAACAGGTATCTGTAAAAAAGATAAAATAAAGACTCTGGTTATTTTTTTTTACAATCTCTCCTTTAATTCAGATATGGAAACCAAGGCCTCGAGTATGGAGTGGCTTGTCCAGGGTCACACATAAATACTGTTTCTGAATGTGTAGATAAGACTGGGGGAAAGGTAACATATGTGACCAGCAAGAACAAACAACATGATGTGTGTGTGTGTTGACACGAGACCTCTTCAAAGTTAGCAGGTGTGGGCGACAGAACAGGGCACAATTGCTAAGCCATTCCTCTTGCCCCTCACTAACTCCTTATGCTATTACAGTCATAGTTTTGTTTTTTTTTTTAAATAAACTTTTAAAATTTCTGGATTAATTTGAGATTTACAGAATTAAAAGTAAGAGAATTTCTGCATAACCCTCACCCAGTGTTCCATAATATTATCGTCTTACAGCGTCACAGTACATTTGTCAAAACTAAGAGACTGACATTGGCACATTACTATTAACTACACTCTAGACTTAATTGGATTTCACTATTCACATTTCCCTGATTGTCACATAATTTTTAAAAAATATATAACTGGTGGTTTTGAGTTAGGATCCTATAAGTCCTACACATTACATTTGGCTTTCTCTCTTTTGTATCTTCTAGTTTATTAACACTCTCTTCCCCCCCCCCCCCAGCAGTATCTCTTGAAGAAACTGGATGGTTTGTCTTGTAGAATTCCTCCCTTGAATGAGGCTATCAGAGTCTCTGTGGTGTTGTTTAATATGTTCCTCTGTCTCCTATTTCTCCCGTAAATTTGTAGCTGTCTCCCAGGCTGGAGTTCAGTGGCCTCATCAGAGCTCACTGCAACCTTAAACTTGTGGGCTTACATAATTCCCTTGCCTCAGCTTTCCAAGTAGCTCGGGTTATAAACACATGCCAGCATGCCCTGATAATTTTTTTTTCTCTCTTTCTTTCTTTCCTCCTTTTCCTTCTTATTATTATTTTGATAGTTTCTCACGCTTGCTCAGGCTGATCCTGAAATTCTGGCCTCAAGTGATCCTTCTGCCTTGACCTCCCAAAGTGTTAGGATTGCAGGTGTGAGGCACCATGCCTGGCTGAGTCCATGCTTTTAACCACTCCCTGCCCCACTTCCTTTGCCTAGTAAAGGGGAGCAGATGATAGCCGGCAGCCCAGGTAATCTCTGAGACTTGGCTTTGCTAAAGCAAGATCAACACCTCCTAGAGTCACTTGGGCAGGCCTTTAAACAGATACTGATGCGTGGAGTCCACCACAGACCAGTAGCATCAGAATTCCTGGGTGTATAGCCTCATTTCTGAAGTAGCCGGTGATGCAGTGTGCATTCTGGTTCAGGACAACTATGCAGGTCCAGGCTTTCTGCCTTTGGGCTATTGGTTCAGTGAGTGTTTTATTCTTATTCCTAAAAAGCAATAATTTAGAGGTCTGGGGTCTGGGGGGAATGTCAGTTTCTTCTCCCAGGGCCTGCTCCCCCTCCCATCTGGGAGGGGGTAAGCCTGGGATGTGGGATGGCAGCCTGCTAGTGCAGGCGCAGGGATCCTGCTGAGAATTAGCTGACTCACCTTTCTTGTGAAGTGAAAGGGAAGGAATCACTTGGCTGACTCATTCTTCCTGTAAAGAAAAAGGGAAGAAAAAAATATCCACTGACTGTATGACTGGATAAAGATGGGGGCTGAATTTGAGAGGCAGAGAGAAGGCTATACATTTTAAACTATTGAGAAAATAAAAATGAACTCAAACTAAGAAAGTAAAAACCTTTCTTGCCATTCATTGGACAGGGAAGACACACACCGATAAAGCCAGCTGCAAAGAAACAATGTTTCTCACAAGGACCCATGGAGCTACAAAGTATCAGAACAACTCTGTTCTTTGAACAATCGCTCTTTCTGGCTGGTTGAGAAATCTCATTCTCTAACGTCATAGATTGTGAGAAACTTTGCTATTTAAATCATTCAAGTAGGAATGAACCTTGACTGGCAGATCTAAGCCATTTTGCCTTAAAAGAATCACGTGCTAAGCTTCAAATAAGGAGTTTCTGGTCCCAATCTTCCACATTAGTCTTAACTTTTTAGTTTCCAAAGAAACAAGACCCAGAGTCTATTTATCAGTCTAAACCAGAGGTTCTCAATCTGTGGGTGGCGACCCACAGGAACTGTATTAAAGGACCACAACATTAGGAAGGTTGAGAACCACTGACCTATCTTGACCCCTTTCTACCTTGTCTTAGTTTGCTTTGAGCACATTTAATCACTGCTTCCTTTACATTTTACTCCACCTTTACCCAACATTCTGTACTAATTCAGTATTTTCCTTTGTTTGGTGTGGGGCCTCAGAGTTCCTCTGCTGTGTGCCTTCTTCCTTACAATCAGTAAACAGGACTTTGTCAGACTATAGTTTTGTCCCTGAGGGTCTTAGGTTGATTAGGCCAGGACACTATCATCTGCACTTCCAAATCAAGACCCCCTTTCTTCAGTCTCAGGCCTCTGTGTTGAAGTATTTACTGAAAAGTTACATCTGGAAGACCCTTTAAGTATCTCAGACTTACATGCCCAATCCTCCCCATTCCATCAGTAGGTTTTTTACTATCCTTACCCTGGTTAGCAAGCATTCATGTCTAACTAGAAATCTATTCTTTTATTTTTATTTTTTGAGACAGAGTCTCACTATGTCACCCTGGGTAGAGTGCTATGGCGTCACAGCTCACAACAACTTCAAACTCTTGGGCTTAAGCAATTCTCTTGCCTCAGCCTCCTAAGTAACTGGGACTACAGGCACCTGCCACAATGCCCAGCTATTTTTTGGTTGCACTTGTCATCACTTTTTAGCTGGCCTGGGCCAGGCTCAAACCCACTAGCCTTGGTGTATGTGGCTGGTGCCCTCCTCACTGAGCTATGGAAACGAAGCCTAGAAATCTAAATATCATCCATGGGTCTTTGTTCTGTCTTGCTCCTCCACAGTTGCTCAGCCTTGCAATACCCCCAGGACCAAGCACAGTGCTGGGCACATGGTTCTCAGTAGGCAGCTGAATGGTGGAGTTAGGCACAGCTTCTGATCCTAGGCTTCATGCCTGAATACTTTTGCTTATACTTTTCTCTGGTTGGAAAATTCATCTACCTCCCAGTTCCACTGGGATATCTCCTTGTCTCACACCAGAAATCTGTGTGTCCCCAGTGTTCTTTTTGATGCCTCATTTAAGCGCTGATCGGAGTATTATTTGTTTACTTATTTGTTCGTAGTTTTTTGTCTTTCCACGGGCTCTCAGCTTCTCGAGGACTTGTTCATTTTGGTCTCCCCTGATATGTGTGGGGCAAAATGCTTTATATGGGACTCTCCCCTAGTAGCTATGGTAGAGAGTGACACAGGAAGGCTGGTGGGGCTGGAACAGGATCAAGACAGTGCAGTGCTGGACCTTCTTCAAGAAATTGCTTCATTCAGGTCATTCTCCTTCTGACTTGGACTGCTAGCTGCCATACTTTATCCATTACTGGCCTTGCCCTTTCCTTCAAAACCCAGCCTGGTTCTGCCCCTCCGGGAAGCCTCAAGCCATTGGCTGCTCTTCCACCCACACATCTATTTCCTGGGCAAGAGTATTGTGGGGCCCTTCTAGATGTGTTAGGAGAATCCTAGCCAAAGACATAAGGAAAGAGCTCATAGCACATGTCCTTCAGACCTTATTATCCAGTATAATACTTAAAATAACAGCTTATTTTTTACTTTATATTTAAAAAAAGGATATTCTATATATTATGTATAATATTGATATGTTTTTCATTTTCAAATCACTTTAAAAGATGTAGAAGTAAAAATCACCCATAATCCTATTACTTAGTTGCAATCTCTGTTAACATTTTAACGTATTGGCTCGGCGCCTGTGGCTCAAGTGGCTAAGGCGCCAGTCATGTACACCCAAGGTGGTGGGTTCGAATCCAGCCCGGGCCCGCCAAAGAACAATGACGGCTGCAACCAAAAAATAGCCGGGCGTTGTGGCGGGCGCCTGTGGTCCCAGCTACTTGGGAGGCGGAGGCAGGAGATTCGCTTGAGCCCAGGAGTTGGAGGTTGCTGTGAGCTGAGATGCCATGGCACTCTACCCAGGAGTACAGCTTGAGGCTCCTGTCTCAAAAAAAAAACAAAAACAAAAACAAAAAAAACATTTTAATGTATTTTTATCTGGCTTTTTTTTTTTTTTTTTTTTGAGCCAGAGGCCCCCAGTAGAGTGCCATGGCATTATAGCTCATAGCAACCTCAAACTTTTGGACTCAAGAGATCCTCTTGCCTCAGCCTCCCAGAGTGCTAGGATTACAGGTATGAGCCAGCATGCCAGGCCCTGGCTTTTAGAAAAATATGATTTTTAGCTTTTATTTTGAAACACTTTCAGTCTTGCAGAAAAGTCGCAAAAGTAAGGAAAACTTTCCCATATACCCTTTGCTTAGATCCACCAGTTTGTAACGTCCTGTCCCATTTCCTTTATTATCCTCTTTGTCTACAGGTGATCATAAAATCTAGAAACATAGCAAATATGCATAATCTCATGAAGACATTTTCAATCTGTGAATACATAGAATTATAGTACCTGTATTTCCAGATTTTATGGCTGCCCTGTATATTTACACATTAGTTTTCTTCAGCCATTTGAAAGTAAGTTACATTCATTCATCCCTTAATACTTTAGTTTATATATTTTAAGAACAAGGATATTTTCTTACATAATGACAGTGCAGTTATTATGTTCAGGAGATTTAACATGGAAACAACACTTATATTAATGTAGTCCAAATTCCAATTTTGTCACCTGTCTCAGTAATGCCCTTGGGAGCATTTTCCCTTCTAGCAGAGGATCCAGTCCCAAATAGTGTGACGTACTTAGTTGTCTCTTTCCTTTCCTTTAATGTGAAACAGCTTTTGTTTTTGTCTTTATGACATTAATGTATTTGATGAACATGATCGGTTAATTTTTGAAATACCCCTCCATCTTTGTGTGTTTGATATTTCCTCATGATTTAGATTTCAGATATCCCTCCAGAATACTATGAAAGTGATACTAGGGACTTCTCAGGGTGTCATAGCCAGAGGGACACAGTGTCCACCTGCCTGTCATTGGTCCTTTTAACATGTTCGCATCATTTTGGGGGGTGGCACTTCATTACTTCTGGCACACCAAAAATGTACCAGTCTCATCTTGTGCCTTCCCTTTCTCAACCCTTGAATTGGCCTCTTCCCTGAGGAACTCTGATTCCTTTTAGTGGACCTGGCTCTGCATGTTATTTGGTCTTTTTGCTCTTCATTTAGTAGCCATCTAGGTCTATTTATGTCCTTGTTTATTGAGCTGGAATCATGCTGCTTATATGCATTTTATATAATAAAATCCTAAGCATTTTTCCATGTCCTAATGTCTGAAAACATGATTTTAAAGGTTGCATAGTATTCAGTCATATGAATGGGCCATTATTTTATTTAACCACATACCTATGTAAATAATGCAGCAGAGAACATCCTTGGGGTATGCCCCTGACCACATCTCTCAACATCCTGCATGGTTTCCTTAGACTAAGTTCTCAGAGGGGAAATTTTGCCAGGACAACAGTGTGAGTCTCAAGCATGTATGTCTTAAGTCAGGAAATGGTTTAGACCATTTGAGGTACAAGAGGTTAGAGAGTTTTAGTAAAAATGGTACTTGATCTGGTCTGTGAGGGGCAGCACCCAGTGGGGGTGGCAGTAAGAATGAGACAGTGCTCTGTGCAGGACACGCTGCTGTGGGCAGAGAAATGAAAGTGGGATGGGGCTTATTGTGTGTGGGACCTTTGAGGTGACCTGGGGCCTATGGCCAGGTCTTTATTGGGAAGAGCAAAGAACAAGTGTTAATGGTAGGATTTGGTGTCCTAGTAAGCCAGGGGAGGAAATGTGGAGGCTTCTCGCCCTACACTGTGCAGAGGATAGTGCGTGGAGAGCTTATGGGACTGCAGGGAGAAATTTGGGGCAGAGCCTGGAGTGTAGTGAGGCATGAACCCAGGGTTTGCTGCTTTCCCTTCATCCTGAGCTTGGCACCCTCTCTCCTCTCCTTGAGCTCAGCTTTGCCCAGCTGGCTTAGTCCCCAGAGCAGAAGCCCAGCAGCAGTATTGCTTGGTTTTCTTTCATTGTGCTCTAATGCCTGTGGCCTGCTTAGCACAAAGCCTTCTTTTTCCAGAGCCCCTGGACTGGGGCAAAAAGACTGGTGGTACAGCCCCTCATCCTGTGTCTCACAGCTGCTCTAGGGTTATGAGGGAAGGAAGGCCTGAGGAGTGTGAGATTGGTATTGTCATGCTTGAGCTGTGTCTGCAGGGATCTCCCTGCAACCTCTGGGGCAGAGGTGGATCTTGGGAAGGGACCTTCTGAGGGGCAGGTGGGGTCTTCTTTCACTTAGACTGTCCTAAGCAAAGCAGGGAGGCTGGGAGAGGGCTACAGACCAGGCTTCACCTCCAGCCTGCGCATCAAGTGCTGCTTGGGAGCTTCTGAAGGTCTCAGAATAGATCTCAGCATTGGGAGAAAGAAAAAAATGGGAGGCCCCTGAAAGAGAAGTTGAGACTGTCCTTGAGTATCTTAATGGTCTCTGAGTTGACTTTGGGAAGCTCTCAGCCTCAGGAAAGCTGAGGTCCCTGACCAGTGAGTCTTCTCTGATATTCTCACACTTGGGGAGTCCTGGGGATAGGGGACACTGACCCTAGGGGTGAGCTGTGGGGTGGGGCTCCCCCGTGTCTGGGGGATGGTGTATAGAACTTACCTACTCTTCTCTCCTGCCCTCTTCTCCAGACATCCTTCTATGGCCGCTTCAGGCACTTCTTGGATATCATTGACCCTCGCACGCTCTTTGTCACCGAGGTAAGTTATAGCTGTTAATCAGTAGCCCCGGGACTTAGTGCCTTTTCACTTTAGAATGTGTGGATCATATGAAGGGTCAGGGATGGTGGGAATGGGACAGTGAAGACACTAGAGGTGGGAGGTGAGAGGTAGGTATCATATTCTATCTCTACCTGTATCTATCATCCATCTTGACCCATCCATTACCCATCTCATGCACTGTGCTGTGTGCTTTTTCACGTTATTACGTTTGGGTCCCTTACAACACCCTTTCAAGGTAGATACATGGTATCATCATTATTATTTTTATTTAAAACTTCAACAAAGTTATCAGGTACATAAATTATATGTTCATTAGAAAAGTTCAAACAGTACACTCATGTTTAAGTAGAACAAAAGAGTATCCTTTAACCTTCTTCCCTACCCAATTCCCTCCCTTCATAGGTAACAACAATAAATAGTATTTATTTATTTTTTTATTATAAATACGTATTAATGTCAGGTTTATTAAAGTATAATTTATTTTTTTAAGTATACAGTTCTATGAATTTTGACAAATATATTCAGTCATGTATTCACCACCATAATCAAGATGTAAACCATTTTCATCATCCTAGCATATTCCCTCAAGCTTCTTTATAATCAATTTCTCCTTTCCCTAGCCCCTGGCACCCAATCATCTGTGTTCTGTTTCTAATGTTTTGTTGTTTCCAGAATGTTCTATAAATGGAATCCTACAGCATGCAGCCTTTTGAGTCTGGCTTCTTTCCCTTAACTTAATGCTTTTGTGATTCATCTGTATTGTTGCGTGTATTAGTACTTCATCCCTTCTTATTGCTGAGCAGTGTTCTATTAAAGGGATGTTTCAGAATTTATTTGTTGATCAACACATGGGTTCTTTCCAGTTTTTTGCTGTTGTGAATAAAACTGCCATGAGCATTCTTTGTGTGGATTTATGCTTTCATTTCTATTGAATAAATAACTAGGAATGAGATTGCTGGCTTATATGGTAAATGTGATAAATATATATGTTTAACTTTATCAGAAACTGCCAAACTGTGGTTCAAAGTGGCTGTACATTTTACGTTCCCATCAGCAATGTATGAGAGTTCCAGTTGCTCCACTTCCTTATCAGCACTTATTGTTGTCAAATCAAGAAAACGTTTATTTTAGCCATTCTAAGACATATGTCTTATAGGCTTTTTATATATATTTACAAATGTGAGTAGGAATGTGTGTATATATAAAATATCAAACATTTATTAAATACTGTGAACAAGGCAGTTTGTAAGCATTTTACATGCATTAGCTCATCATGTTAACTCAAAGCAACCCTAACAGGTAGATTCTATTATAAGGTCCATTTTTTTTTAAACCTTTTTTTTGAGACAGTCTCACTATGTTGCCCTAGGTAGAGTGCTATGGCATCACAGCTCACATGAGCAACCTCAAAATCTTGGGCTTAAGCCCAAGATTCTCTTGCCTCAGCCTCCCAAGTAGCTGGGACTATAGGTGTCCACCACAACGCCTGGCTATTTTTTGGTTGTAGTTTTCATTGTTGTTTGGCAGGCCTGGGTTCAAATCTGCGAGCTCTGCTGTATGTGGCTGGCACCCTAGCCACTGAGCTACAGGCACCAAGACAAGGTCCATTATTTATAGATGAAAAAATAGAAGTTAAGTCTCATACACTTGGTGCTGACAAGTGATAGAGCCAGGGCATGAACCCAGGTACAATTATTCTCAGCAGTTTTCATTCCTATTCAGGTAACTTGAGTTTAGGGAAGGAACTTGCCCAAGATTACTTAGCTGGCAGAAGACCTGAGATCTGGCCCTGAGTCCCCCCCATATACCCTGAAGCAAGTCAGCTGAATCAGCTTCCTGAGATGATAGCACTTTTCTGGGCTGAACATTCTGACTGGCATTCTTAGGCTGGAGATGACTAGCTCAAGGGGTGAAAAGCCATGATGGAAGGAAACACAAGGCCTACCGGGCACTTGGGCCTGGAACCGTCCTCCGTGTGCCTGGGGGAGCAGCTTGATAATGTGAAATGTGGGCATTGCCCTTATGTGTGGTTTTTTAACTGCATCTTAGCAAGGATAAAGGGCTCAGGTATCACAGACTGTCTTGGGCTCTGTCTTGATTCTCCTGATGAATAATCAATGTGATTACATAAAAATTAGGAAGAGCACCAAATTAGAAAAACTACTTGCCCAGCCTAGGTAATGTGTCATTCTAGATAGAACTGTGTTCCTAAAGTCCCAATATAAATGTTACCTGTTTGATGGAGGAGTCTGTAGAGGCCAAGGCTTAACTCAAAGGATGGAGGTGCTAATGGTTTGGGGGCACGTTGAGAAATGGAGGGAGATTTGGAAGGTAGGGAGGTATTTCAGTTCTCCTGAGATTACCCTGAGCAGGCAGAGACTTTAGGGGTGGATGAGCAGCTTTTGGGTGGCTTGCTGCCTGTGATGGGCTCACACTGCCCTCCCTGACCCTTTTCCCATTCTTAGACCATTTCATTTTACTACTCTTTTCCTTGTACCACATCTTTCTTTTTCAATTCTTTTTTTTTTTTTTTCCTTGAGACAGAGTCTTACTATGTCATCCTCAGTAGAGTGCTATGGCGTCACAGCTCACAGCAATCTCAAACTCTTGGGCTTAAGTGATTCTCTTGCCTCAGCCTCCCAAATAGCTGGGACTACAGGCACCCACCACAACGCCCAGCTATTTTTTATTGCAGTTGTCATTGTTGTTTTAGCTGACCTCGGCTGGGTTCAAACCCACCAACTTCAGGTGTATGTGGCTGGCGCCGTACCCACTGTGCTACAGGTGCCAAGCCTCTTTTTCAGTTCTTACCCTTTGACAGACCCCAATATTGTGTACATCACTGAACTATTTTTAGCCTGTTTTTCTAAAAGTTAATTTTAAAATCTGTGTATACATACACACACACTCACACACACTCACATATATAAATATATTTATTAATTGAAACTTAAATATTTATCAACTAGAAAATAACTAAGGCAGCAGCAATTTTAGGATATTTTTCAAATTTCACTTGTTCCTTCCCCTTATCAGACATTTTTCATGGGCTTCTCAGAAGCTTTTCTTCCCCACTGCACCCCAGTTGGGGATTGTTTCCAGGGCTACCTCCTAGTCTTTTGCAAAGTTTCTGCCTGTGTAAGATCTTCTAGGCCCTAAGGACTCTGGAATGGCCCTGAATTGGACCTCTGGGCCAGCACAAATAGTCGTCTTAACCCTCACTAGTTCTAGCATAGGGAGGTTGGTTAGCAAGATCATCTCTATCCATGTAATGAGAAATTAGAGGCATGTGAGAGTCGTCATGTGGGGAATGCTGGGGTTCATGACTCACTACACGATAGGCTCTGGGCTGCATTTCTCCTTAGAGCCCCACAGTTGTCCAAGCACCATTCTCTACACAGTGAAGAAAAAGAAGCCTCTACATTCCCTTCCCTTGCTTACCAGGACACCAGACCTGCAGCCAATCTTGTTCTTGTTCCTTTCCAATAAAGACCCTGCAATAGGCCTCAGGTCACCTCCCTATATCCTCTGGATGAGCTGTGGGGCACCAGGAGGGCCAGACTCCCCTGCACTGCTGGGCTCAGCCTACCAACTTTGGCTCCTGTCTATGTAATATTGTTTGCCTCCCCTGGCCCTTGGTTGGCACCCTGGCAGGGAGTGCAGGGTGCTGGCTGCACAGCTGGAGGAAATGTGGATGGGCTGTTTGTGAGGGAGGGAGGACAGTGGAAGGCATGAGGAAATGGCTGTGGAAAATGGAAGGTCCAGAGGTAGAATGATGAGCTTGAACCTCTGGTGACCTGGTTCTCGGATGCATTAGCGGAGTTAATAGAGAAACTCCTCTTGAAAGAGTTTTGCAGCTGCTTTTTAGCAATTTATAACTGAACAAGCTTTAAGAACATGCCAACCCTTGTATGTGTATGAGGTGAAGGAAATACTATTCACTATAATTTCTCTTAGGAAGAGGGCTGTGTTCTAAGAATGCCTTGAACAATGCTTCAAGGGAAGAGGAGGTTCTTCTTAACAGAGGGGAAAGAGCTATACTTTTTTTCTTTTTTCTTTTTTTTTTTTTTGAGACTGAGTTTCACTTTGTTGCCCTCAGTAGAGTGCCGTGGTGTTGCAGTTCACAGCAACCTCAAACTCATGGCCTGTAGGGATTCTCTTGCCTCAGCCTCCCTAGTAGCTGGGACTACAGGTGCCGACCACAAGGCCCAGCTATATTTTAGAGACAGGGTCTCACTCTTGCTCAGGCTGGTCTTGAACTCTTGAGCTCAAGCAATCCACCCGCCTCGGCCTGGTTTACAGACATGAGCCACCGTGCCTAGCCTTTAGAACTGTGCTTTTTGATGAAAGGAGAAAGGAGATAGAAGAAAGAAGAGGAAAAAAACAGTGGGAAGAGCAGCAAAAATCTAGCATGGAACTGAAAGACTAATAAAGGAAATGTCACAGTGGAGATGTGGCCAGGGACTCCTTTGAGATTCGTGGTGCCTACTGTGCTTGTGAAAGTTGCTGTGAATTTGCTCTATTATTTCTTCCACCTGCATTCCTGGGAAGTGGCCAGCAAAGTCTGCCTGGTTCGTGGAATCTCTGCAAGAGATTATTTTGGGGGAATCTTCAAGGGCTGTGAGTCTCCTGTCCAGAGACAGTGTGTGTAGAATCATGTTGGATGAAGGAAACCATCAGGAGCTTGCAGAAGCCTAAGGGAGAAAGCTTGACCTTCCATGTATGTCAGGGAATTAGACCCAGATCTCTAAGGACAAGGCTGTAACACATGATGTCTGAATGATTCCTAAATATGGACCAAAGATAGAAGGAATTTACTATTCCAAATTCAATAATTATTTAAGGGAATGAATGGTTGATAAATTGTCTTCCTGGAGGGCATAGGCAACTAACTAAAATAGTTTTTTTTTTTTTTTCTTTTGAGACAGAGTTTCACTCTATTGCACAGGCTAGAGTGCCATGGCATCAGCCTTGCTTACAGCAACCTCAAACTCCTGGGTTTAAGCCATCCTCCCGTCTCTGCCTCCCATAGTGCTAGGTTTTATAGGAGTAAGCCAACACTCCTATCCTGAAAAAGTATCAGTAATACCAACTCAATATTAACAGTGGTGTAATAATCTGAAACTATATTGTGTGTATTGTAGAATAGAATAAATAATTATACTGATGTTGAGTATCAGAGTTCTCACTGTAGAGTTGAGGGATATCCCTATGGAATAGGGGAAAAGATAAAAAGAACTACAATAGAACCTCTCTATAAGTTGACCACCCAAGAGACTATTAACAAACTGGTCAATATACAGAAATGGTCAACATAAGGAACTAGGCCTACTGTACTGATATGTATATGGAGCGCATGTCCGGTCTATGAAAACGAGGTCAACTGAAGGCAGTGACCAGTGTAGGGAGGTCGTCAACTATGGAGGTTCTGTATATGATGGAGGTACTGCATGTGATGTATTTAAATTGGTGTTACCAATATCATGATCTACACATGCACACGTCTGCATTACCTTTCCCAACTCTGCTCACTGACTGCACTTTGCACTCGATTTTGGTTTCTGAACACCACTGCCCACAACAAGGAGCCAGAGCTCCTTGGAGAGATGGTGGAATGCGGGTCTGAGGCAGTAAGAGTTGCTGCAGAAAGGAAGGAAGTGCTCAAAGAATGATGGAGACACAGGCACCGGCTTGAAAGGAAACCCACTGGCCGCTTGAGGACAATTTGAGCACTAAAAAGAAAAAAAGCAATGGATTCTAACACACTGACTAAAGAAAAAATCCATGATTCCATATGCTGTAGTAGGAAAGTGTCCCCTCGAAAATCAAGGTGTTGAAACTTAATGGCAAATGTGATATTATTAAGAGGTGAGGCCTTTAGTAGGTGATTAGGCCATGAGGGCTGCTTTCTGGTGAATGGGATTAAGGACCTTAACTTATATCAGAGGCTTCACGCAGCCTCCAGCCCTCTTGCTTTCTACCATGTGAGGACACACACAGTGTTCCTTCCCTCTTAAGGATACAGACCTCACCAGACATCAAATGCTGGTGCCTTGATCTTGGATTTCCGGCTTCCAGAACTGTGAGAAATAAATTTCTGTTATTTATGAATTGCCCAATCTGTGGTATTCTGTTATGGTAGCACAATGGTCTAAGACATCATGGAAGTACTAAAAATGTGGGTGGAAGAAATTCTTCTTACCCTGTATAACTCTCAATTTAGTAACTGATTCCAACCAGGATCATTAATGGATAACTATTTCCATACAGTAAAAATACTATTGAGAAACAAAATATTCATTTGCTCTCAAAGTATCATTCTGCAGATTATTTACTTAGCAATTACACAGAGGGAAAGGTAATGAGCCTTAAAAAGTCTTTTCATTCAGAAATCCCACTTCTAAAAATTTATTCAAAGAATTTAAGAGAAGTACAGTGAAATTTATGCATAAAGATAACTTACAGTGGCAGACATCCTTTTACCAGGTGACCAAACTTAGCATCATAACAATGAAAAAAATTGACATTGTCTACCTCCTGGTGTGATAAGATTCTGATTGTAATCCCCAAATGCTGGAAGCTACAAAAAGTCCAAAGAAGAAAATAAAAAGTGCTCATAATGTCACCTGCTACAAAGAATCACCATTAACATTTTGGTGTATGTATATGTACAAAATAGGGATGATTTTTATAATATGTGTATTACCATATGTCATCAGTCTCTGTGGAAAGAATCATATATGCATGTATGTATGATATGTACATATACATAATGTGTGGATATGATGATTTTTCTATTTACATCGCAGTGTATATCCCCGGTATACACGTTTTTCCATGTAGCATCTCATGAGCATTTTTCAAATGTTTCATTAAATGTTTTGAAATGCATTTAATGACTACATAGTAATTCATCACATTAACTTATTTAATTATTTTCTCTGATGTTGACCATTTAGGGGATTTCAAGTATTTTGCCGTTTACAAATAATATTGTAATAGATATCCTAATACACAGACCTCACTGTACCTTTTTTTCCTTTGAATGGATTTCTACAAATGGGATTTCAGGGTAAAATATATTTTAAGGCTTTTGTTAATTATTGCCAAATTGCCTTGCAAATTGTACCAACCTATACCCAGATTTTATCAGTTTGTTCTCCCAATAACTGAGTGAGGGTGCCTATTTAAATGCATCCTAGACAGTACTGGATATTCTAACTTTAAAGGCTTTAGTGGAATTTTTTATTGTTGTTTTGGTTTGGTTTTTGAGACAGAGTAGAGTACCATGGGCTAGAGTACCATGGTGTCAGCCTAGCTCACAGCAACCTCAACCTCATACTCCTGGGTTCAAGCACTCTTCCTTGCTTCAGCCTTGTGAGTAGCTGGGACTACAGGCACCGGCCACCATGCCAGGCTAATTTTTCTATTGTTTTTTAGTACAGATGGGGTTTCACTCTTGCTTAGGTTGGTCTCAAACTCCTAAACTCAAGTGATCCTCCTGCTTTGGCCTCCCAGAGTGCTAAGATTACAGGCCGTTCCTGCCCTTTAGTGGAATTTGTAATTTTAAAAGTCTCCACTTGAGGTGGGTAGATTGCTTGAGCTCAAGAGTTTGAGACCAGCCTGAGCAAGAATGATACTCCATCTCTACTAAAAATAGAAAAACTAGTTGGGTATAGTGGTGCATGCCTGTAGTCCCAGCTACTTGAGAGGTTGCTGTGAGCTATGATGCCATGGCACTCTACTCAAGGTGACAGGATTAAGTTCCAACACCTTTTTTTTTCTGTCTCAAAAAAAAAAAAAATCCTCAGTTGTCAGTACCCTTATACACTTCAGGTTCTCATCTGTCTGTGTACATTTTTGGCATACTTATAACACTGAATGTATACTTTCTATTTGCTTTTTTCATTCATTTCCAAGTCTCCATAATTTCTTAAAATCAAGTTTTGTAGTATAAATAACCATCCCCTGTTAGACTTTTAATTCCAACAGATAGGTTGTTTTCTATCTTTTGCTTTCCTGCAAAAAAAAAAAAAAAAAGTCTTAGGCATATCATTTTTTATTTCTGCTAAATTTATTTTTTAGGATAAGTTCCCATGAGTAGGGCAACCAGGCTGGAGGCCATGATTGTTTTTAAAGTTTTTGGGTAGCTGGATAGATTTATTTCCTGAAGGGATGCACCACCTGCAAAAACTATCAGTTTACCCTATTGGGCCTCAAAGATGACCAGAAGTCAGGTGTCCCTGGCCCCCCTTTCTCTTGGGTCTTGAAGAATGCTCTTCCTCCCAGCCCAGGACTCCCAGCTAGGCCCTTCATAGTTTTGCATTCAAGGGCTGTGCCTGTGTATTCTTGGCTGAAAGCAGTTCCTGCAAAACTCACTCTGCCACCGACCTCCCAGCTTTCCCCACCCCTCAAGTGCCCAAGCCCTTTGCCAAGCCTCACAATCCAGCAGTGTGAGAGGAGGGGTTATGGCAAGGGGACCCTCCTCCTATTCCCTGAGTTTCTGTGAAATGGCACCCTTCTCTGCAGTGGGGACACCAGACCCAGAACATCCAGGCCTTGGGGACCTTTAAAGACAAGTGGCCTGAGTCCCCGCCCATTCCAGAGGGACACCAGAGACTTAGTAAGGCTGAGGTCAGCCTGTTGCTTCCTTCAGTCCTGCGGTCTCAGACTTGTCTTCAGGAACTTTGGATTTAGTTCCCTCTCAACTCATGCTGTTTGCCAAGATTGGGGCTCTTTGGAATTTATTCTTTTGGCAAGAGGGCTCCCTTTGATGACCGTGTCAAATGAGATGGAGTCTGGCCAGGTTGTTATAGGAACTCAGGAGAATCCCTGGAGTGGGAAAAATAATGAGAACATGGGGCCATTCACCATTCAGTATTGGAAAGTAGAGCATTTATTGTCCAGGCCTGCAGCAACCCAGGCATCAGGAGGAAGTAGGCTAAAATGTGGGGGGCTCATCATGGGAGCCTCAGGGGTATTGGGTGTGTGTGGCAGGGTATGCAGAGCAAGAGTCTGAATAAGCCCTAGGTTCAAGTACTAAACCAACCGCTTAGCATTTGTGTGACCTTAAGTTAAAACAATCAACATGATCCAGTTGTGTTGAAAACAAATGTATTATGTCCAGAAGAAAACTCATCTTCTTTTTTGCAGTGATTATTTCAGTGGTATGTTTATAGGTGATTTAAAATTTTTTTGTGTGTTTTTTCATTTTTTTTCTGACGTTTGTTTAAACAGCATGAATTGCTTGCATAATTGGGAATAAAACAAACAAAAAACAACCACAAGGCTATCTCCACTTTGGAAATGAACAGATTCTGGGAACAGGTTCTTTTGAATATTATTGTACCACCGTCATGCAGTCGTTTCCCAATGGAAGGACATTTAGGTGGTATCCTTCTTCTTATTTTTGGTGTGTTCTATGAACTGAGGACAAGCCCAAAGCTTTGTACATTGTAAACACTTTCGTTACTTGATTGATATTGATGTAATCCTACAAGGGAGACATCTGTGGGAACCCTGGATCTGTGCCCCTCAACATCTCTTTTCTTTCCTCTGCAGAGACGTCTCAGAGAGGCTGTGCAGCTGCTGGAAGACTACAAGCATGGGACCCTGCGCCCGGGGGTTACCAATGAGCAGGTAACTCCGTTGGAGTGGGAGTAGGGCAGGTGGGGAGGGGAAGGAAGGTGATGAATTCACAACTTTCCCTGCAACCAGAACTACTTTACTTTCCTTGAGTAAATATTTCTACTATTGCTGTGTACCCCTAGGGACTTCCTGCTCTTTTGGGGACACACTCGGATCTCTCCCATATTCCTAGGTCTGGTGAGAAGGTAGAGGCTGATAAGGAAAAACTTAAAGGCAGTGGTTTTGGTAAAGCTGGCTTGTAGTTGGTTTCAAGAACTGATTCTAAGCATTTCTTCCCAAGTCCACATCACAGTGAGTAGTTTGAAATTAACGGTGAATGGGAATATTTACACCATGGAAACTGGCAATTGCTACAAATCAGGACTTTTTCTCCAGAGAACTGGTTATTAAACATTTACCATTATGGGTGGTGCCTGTGGCTCAGTGAGTAGGGCACCAGCCCCATATACTGAGTGCGGCGGGTTCAAACTCAGCCCCCGCTGAACTGCAACAAAAAAATAGCCAGGC